GTGTGTGTGTGTGTGTGTGTGTGTGTGTGTGTGTGTGTGTGTGTGTGTGTGTGTGTGTGTGTGTGTGTGACGAGTTTCGTTCATATACAGATGGTGGCCAGAGCCATCCTCTCCCTGTCGAGATTTCACAGCCGAGCAAGCGAGCTAGCTGCAGGCGATTGAAGTACTGCATCGTGAGCTCTTTTGCAATTCGCAGCCAAGGGGTCAGCGACACCAGGGTTGAAAGCATAGCTCTTGGATAAGGCATCATAGCCTACGAAGGAAGAAGTCAGCCTGGCCCAGAGGAGTTGGTCCGTAAAGGGAGACAGCGCCTCCATATTTTCCAGCACCATTGTCTCTCTCTCTCTCTCTCTCTCTCTCTCTCTCTCTCTCTCTCTCTCCCCTCCATATTTTCCAGCATCATTCTCTCTCTCTCTCTCTCTCTCTCTCTCTCTCTCTCTCGCTCTCCCCAGTCAATCCATGTGTGCGTGTGTGTGTGTTCTAGACACGACCATATCAACAGAACAGGGAGAAGGAGAAGAGAAGACGAGTAGTCAAATCAAATCGGTGAGGGCATGCGAAGGGTATACTCACGATTGGCTACTTGGAGCTTCACCAATACAGACTGCTTCATCAGCAAGCTGGACATGCAGGCTCTCGCTGTCGATTGTTGAGTGGACTGCAACACAAGGTATACCCATTTCATGGGCCGTCCTGATAATCCGCACTGCTATCTCTCCCCGATTAGCAACGAGGATCTTCTCTTGCGGCTTCTCCTGTGACTTCTCCAGGCACCGGCACTTGAGCGTCCTTCCCACTTGCAAATCTCCCCGCTGGTCAGCAAGTGCCCCCCTCTGTCTCACCAGTTCCCCCAGCCTGCAACCTTCCCCTGCAAGAAAGGGGGAGCTGCTGCTTCTCCCAAGCTTTCTGCTGCTGCCCATGCTCTTGCAGTCATCGGCAACACAGACATGATTTGGCCTTCTTGGAACTACGCACCACAGCACCACACAAAACACACAGCCACAAATGAATAAAAAAACGCACTATTGCCTACGCAATAACTCAGCTCAAATATGCACCAGCCGTGGGCTGGGGGTCGTCAACTTTGGTCAAAGGGCCCGAAACGGGGGTCAAAGGTCACGCCCAAGTCATGAAAACGTCTGAACGAAGGCCTGCCGCTGTGAGGTACCCAAGGCAAGGCCAAAACTGGCCTTCAGAGGCCCAAAGTGAGGCAGTTGACCTTGGGAAAGTCAACAGTCGACCTCAGCTCGGGAAGTCAGGCCCACGAGTCAAAGTCAACATGAACCCAGCCTCAGCCGTAGATCAGACACACACCTCTGGTTGTCGGCAGGTATCCGGAAGGAATCAAGTCCAATGGGAATCTCCAACTGTATGAGATCCAGGCCATTGGGTGACAGACGATCTGGGCCATCGTATCTGAGAGATCGGAGGCTGGTCAACATGAGTCTACACTATAAGGTTGACCCAGCCCCTGCTGGACCGCATACAGTCTTTTGCGTATCACTGGATGCTGGCTTGACGCTTGCGCGACGACGCAAGACTGCCACAGCTTTATGCTGGCACCATTCTCTGTTTGCTGCGCCAGCCATGAGGTTGATTATGCTGACATGGCTCTTGCCACACTGACTACGACATTGATGGAGTACGGGCGGGGAGGAGGAGGATCAGGGATGTGACATTGGTCGATAAGGAAGGGAAGCTTACCTGCTTGCTGCCATAGTTCGTCAGGGAGAAGCTGTTTGCTGACGTGGCGCATTGGGAAGACGCCCCCTTGCGAGGGAGCTCCATTCAACAATGATGATGGAAACTCTCTTCCACCCTCTCTCCTCCCTCTCTCCTCATCTTCTTCTCTGAGTACGGGATATTGGGGCATATGCTCGACATGTTTGGTTTCACACACGATTTTTGGAGACATTGATTCTGTGCTGAGTCATTCTGTATTTCGACATTGATGAGCTTCTCATCTGATTGGGTTCATTCAGTTTGGTATCAGAGCGATATCCTCCATCCTTCGCGCGCGCGCACTTGATTAATATCACATGGTTGTATGCACGCTTGATTGGTTATGCACGTGTTGGTTCTGTTCCGTGCACACATGACTCTGATGATGATAATAATGATGATGACGTGGACGTGATGATTGTTGGCCAGGAAGTGCTGACGTGGCGCTGGGTAACCGGAGAGAGAGAGAGAGAGAGAGAGAGAGAGAGAGAGCTGCTGACGTGGCTTCATGGGATCGAAGTGCGCACCGCTCATGTGGCATGGTGCGAAGGTGCCGATGTGGCACCTATAGATAGCGCAGCAGGATTTATTGTCTGACGTGGCATTTTGCGGACTGCCGAGACTTACCTGCTGACGTGGCATCCCTGAAGTAGCAGCAACATACCAGGTTACTGCACACCAAAATCGATATTCCAGTGAGCACATACGGGCTGGGCAGACTGTTGCTGCTCATGTGATCGCGAAGCGACCATTGACGCTAACATGGCACTTCTCCGCTGATGTGTCACTGAGGCTAATTGGAGAGAGTGACACGTGGCGGTTCTCACGTGCGCTGTCATCCACACGAAGATTGGTGAGAACAGAACTTTGCACTTGTGTGATCTGACAGGCGGTACAGCACGAGATTAGCTGTAGCGCATCAAAGCATGTGCCTGGACATACAAGCCATCTGCGAGAAGACAGTGAGAGAGATCAGCTAACGCATTGTTGATTATTGTGTTGCTGATTGATTGATCGTACTTACCTGTCATGGGTGGTTGTGGACTCACCATTGTTGTGTTGTCTTGATCTCACTGGTCGTGGCTGCAGAAACCTGCACAGATCTTAGAAACATCATAAAAAAGATAATCAGCAAATATTTATTATTATTATTATTATTATTATTATTATTTCTTTTTAACAACAGAACCTCTCGGTTCTGGCTCCTGCCATTCTGGGGAGCAACAGTCCGGTTCCTATTCCCCCGGCAAGTCAAGGATGATACAAAATTTACCACGCACGCTCCTCCCCATTATGGTTGGGAGGCCCAAGTGGACGGCATTGATTACTTCCTTTTAAGGAAAGATGTACCACCCCTTACCCCTGCCTAAGTTACCCTGCCTGACTTAGTTTCTGTGTATTGCAGATCAGCTATTTTCTGCTAACTCTGATTGAAGCACGTCTTGTAAAATGAGGCTCGACTAGCTTACTCCTCTCAGCTATTCGGCTGCCTGATCAGATTTAAGTTCTGGAGTTGCTAAGCTAGACATCGCAAAATTTGAGATTTTAACTCCCTAATTAATTTATTTTATTTCTTATTTCTTGTCATGGGATTGGATTCGTTTGTAGTGAGGCCGTGGAATTTGCAGACTGTCGTTTAAATTATATTGCACGGCATTCTCACTTGAAAAATGGCTTACCTCTAGAATTGTCTGTGTGCATTCATTCTGACCCACTCCATTCCCTTGTTCTTCTTTTCTATCTCGATCACCTTCTCCATTGATCAAGAAGAAGGGGTGCTTCGAACTTGTGGCCAAGTAGAAAGACAGCAGCAAATGTTGGGATGTCTTCGCCAGCTGCTCAGTGAATTGCACGGAGCTGGTCCATACGCTGAATAGCATGTACGCAGCCAATTCAATCTGCGTGCTGCAGAAGATGAACTCTAGCAAGCTGGAACGGTTGTTCAGATCCTGGAGACCAGTGGTAGAGTGCAGCAGATCATTGATGGAGAACGAACGACTCTCAATCATTTTGTTGGTGATCAGTTTGCGAAGATCGCCAGAGAAGAGGTCAAGGAAGTGAAAAAAAAGGAAGAACCCGAATTAACAGCAGAAATTATGGATGACACCATCAAACAGTTGCAAGCTGCGTTAGAGGCAGAACAGAAGAAGAAAGAAGAATATTAGAGGCAACGAAGAGAACAAGAAAAACAGGCAAGGAAGGTAGAAGAGATAAAACATAAATTTCATGTTGTGGATTCGAAAACTGACGTGGCGTCTGTGTTACAAAACATGATGGCTTACCTTACACTCGGAGATCAAAATTCACAACGTCACCGCAAAACTACAGACGGTGACTAGATTAGTGAAAGGAAAGAACGGAGTCTTGTGAAGAAGTAGAGGAGAAACAGAAAAGAATGAGTCTCAAGAGAAACTGATGAAAGACGCTATAAAATCCCGTGACCCCAACTTATGAGAGACGCCATAAAATCTTGTGACCCCAAGGAACCAGAGACCTCTAAGAAGGAACCAGCAAAGAAGGAAGAAGGGGAGAAGCCGAAAAGAAAAGAGAAGGTAAAAATGAAGTTGTCATTCACTTACAATGGAAAGAAAGGTGAACATCTATTACTATGGATTGTCGAAATCCAGATATATTGTGGGACCACACCAGTGGCAGAGGACAACCAAGTGGCATTTTCCACGTCTTGTTTTGGGGAAATCTCCGAGGAATGGGTGTTGTCGGAAGCCAATGCCGCTGGATTTGAGGACATTGGTAACTGGGCTAAGAATATGACTCTGCGGGAATTTCTCCTGAAGATTTCCTTGACAAAACGACCGCCGACAAGGCATCTTACGAGCTCACCACCATTAGTCAAAAATGTTGGTCTAGTGTCAAAATTATGTCTCGTGAGGTGGATCGTTCGTTTTAGGTTCCTGGACTGAACCTACAAGACAATCAGGTCCTTTATATCTACTCATGTGCATTACCAGAGCCCATACGCGGACAACTTGTGGCAAAGGCTAAATTTGGTAAGCACAACTATCGACAATTCAGAGATCTCACCCCTCAACGAGAACAGCTGACCGCGCAGGTAAAAGGGACTTACGCAAACGTTATGAGGAGTGGGCAAACGAGTGGGTACATGAACGGGAAAAGAGTTATGTGGAGGCAGAAGCGATAGGTCCACACTCTCAATGTCTTTGACGACGAGGATGTTGAGAAGTGACCCCTCAAAGAGGCAGAGACGGTGAATCAAGTGAAGGTGGTGAGTCAGGAAAGGGTGGCGTCACCGCCATGGTGGCCAATAGGGGAGGCACCAACAGGAATGGAGGTTTCAAGAAGAAGAGGCCACGCTCCTTCCCTGAGCACCCTGACATTGCTTTTGGCCTGCCCTGGGAGAAGATGGGCCTGACCCAAAAGGAATGGCAGCAAAGGATGGATAAAATGTGGCACTAAGGGACACATCATAGCATGGTGTCCCCTTATCCGTAACCCCAAAGGGAGCATCCAGTAGGAGTCGCATCGACTCCTACTCAGTTAGCGAGTTCAGATAAAGGTAAGGCGTCAATGAACCCTTTCAACCCCCCAACTCCCATGGCAGAGGATGACTCTTCTTCGGCCCATCACCCAGAACACCTTGAAAGAGTTTTGTATTTCGTCTCTCTCAATCATTCCCTTAATGAACTTGGATGTGAACTAATTGCTTTACGAAGTTCATGAGCTAAGAAACCAAAGTCTAAGGGTGAATTAGTGACTGCAGACATTGTGATTGCACGAACACTAGATTCTTTGTTGGATTTTGGGTCTACATGGTCCTACATCTCAGAAAAGGCAATTCACAAGTTCTATATGGGAATTAGAACGCAGTGCCTTCCGAGACCTATCACGTTTATGCTTGCTGACAACAACACGATAATTGCCTCTCGGTTTATCAATCAAGTGAAATGTTATTTTCAAACAAAGAAAGGGAAAAAAATCTTGCATGAAGTAACCTTCCTTGTAGAAAAGAATCTACCTCTGGGCATGTTCCACAAGTCTGGTTCTGACTCGTCACTGTCTTTCTATTGCATGAGTCTTCATCTTTTTTTAATGGTCACAAAAAATAAGTTGGTGCAAGACGTAATGATGATACTTGTCAAGCAAGTAGGTGAATGTTCCTTGTCCTATCCTCCTTCTATTGACAAATTGCTCACCAAATATAAGGAATTACAATTACACATACGGGAGTAACTGACCATGCTATAAAGCACATCATCAAAATCATTCCCAGGAGTTAGATTCCCAAGGGACCGACCTATCCTATAAATCATTCCCGGAAG